GTGGCGTGTGCCTGTAATCCCAAGCTGATTCAGAGGCGAGAGGGAGGACCATTTGAGCCCAGGACGTCGAGGAGCAGTTGAGACCATGATTGTGGCCACTGCACCCCAGGGCTGGGCCACAGACAGAAATCCTGTCTCAAAAAAAAAAAAAAATAATATATATTAATATATATATATATATATATATATAAAAATAAGCAAAATAAAAAAACAAAGAATAACAAGTTGGGAAATTAGAGATACATATGGGAGATCAAAAAGTGTGACAAATAAAAACGGATTATTTATATACGAATCGAGAATAGTGTGGCCATCGCGGTGCTCACGTCTGTAATCCTAGAACTTTGGAGCCGAGGCGGGGATCATGAGGTCAGGACATCGAGACCATCCTGGCTAATCAGTGAAACCCTGTCTCTACTAAAATACAAAAAAAACTAGCCGAGTGTTGTGGCGGGTGCCGTAGTCCCAGCTACTCGGGAGCTGAGGAGGAGAATGGGAGAACCCGGGAAGTGGAGCTTGCAGGAAGCCGAAGATGAAGCACTCCACTCCAGCCTGGGTGGACAGAAAAGCAAAGACGCTTCCCTAACCTGCACTCCAGGCTGGAGTGCAGTGGTGTAATCATGGCTCACTGTAGTCTCAACCCCCTGGGCTGAAGAAATTTTCCCACCTCAGCCTCCTAAGTAACTGGGACTGCAGGCGCATACCACCACACCTGGCTGATTATTATTATTATTTTTGTAGAGTTGGGATATCACTCTTGCTCAGGCTAGTCTCAAAATCCTGGCCTCAAATATCCCACTCCCTTGACCTCCCAAAGTGCTGGGATTACAGGAATGAGCTAGAGTGTCCAGCCTGTTTATTATTTCTATGTGTTGGAAACCTTTCAGTTCTCTATTCAAGCTATTTTGAAATATACAATACATTGTAATATATACTCAGTTACTCTGCTATCAAATAATAAAACATTTCTTTTATCTAACTGTATGTTTGTGCCCATTAACAACCTCTCTTCTTCCATCAGCACCCATCTACACATACTTCTCAGTCTCTGGTAGCTATCATTTTTCTCTCTATCTCCATGAGATCAACTTTTTTTGCTCCCACATATAAGTGAAACTATTCAATATTTGTCCTTCTGTGCCTGGCATATATCACTTAACATAATGACATCCATTTATATCCATGTTGCTGCAAATAACAAAATTTCAGTTTTTTTAAAGGCATAATAGTAGTGTATTGTGCACATACACTACATTTTCATTCATTGATGGACAATTTGGTTGATCTCATGTCCTTGCTATTGTAAATACTGTTGTGATAAACATGCAAATGTAGGCATCCCTTTGATATATGGATTTCCTTTTCTTTTGATAAATACCCAGTAGTGGGATTGCTAGATGCTATGGTAGTTTTCTTTTTTTTTTTTTCTTTTCTTTTTTTTTTTTCTTTCTTTTTTTTTTTTTGTAGAAATCTCTATACTCTTTTTCCATAGTGGCTGTACTGACTTACATTGTCACCAACAGTATATAAGTTTTATTTCTCCACATTCTTGCCAACATCTCTTATGTTTTCCTTTTAATAATAGTCATTTTAACTGGGGTAAGATGATATTCTCATTCTGGTTTTTTGATATTATTTTTGTGTGACTGGTGTAATGTTGAGCATTAAAAAAAACCTGTTAGCCATTTGCACTTCTTCCTTTGCAAGATGCTCTATTTATGTTCTTTTGTGCACTTTTTAATGTGATTGATTTTTTTACTATTTGAGTATATTTTGGTGTTATGTTCTTTGTCAGATGAATAGTTTGCGAATATTTTCTCCCATTCACAAGTTGTTTCTTTGCTACATTGATTGTTTTCTCTGCTTTGTGGTTTTTTATTTAATAATATTTTCCCATTTGTCTGCTTTTGTTTTTGTTTTCATTGTGTTGTGTTTTGATGGTCTTAGCCATAAAATATTTTGCCTAACTAATGTTCTGAAGTGTTTTCTGTGTATTTTTATCTAATAGGTTTATAGTTTCAGGGTCTTATGTATAAGTTCATAATTCATCTTCAGTTGATTTTTGTTTATGGTGAGAAATAGGGGTCCAGTTTATATACTCTTGCATGTAGATATCCGGTTTTCCCAGCACCATTAATTGAAAATAATGTCCAACACCCAGTGTATGTTCTTGGAGCCTTTGTGGAAACCAGTTGGCTGTAAATACATGGATTTATTCTCAGTTCTATAGTCTGTTCCATTGGACTATGTGTCTCTTTTAAACTCAATACCATGCTATTGTTGTTACTTTTGCCTTTTAATACATTTTATTTACTTTTCTTTTTCTCTTTTCTTTCTTTTGCTTTTAATTTTGTGGGTACATAGTTAGGTATACATATTTATGGGGTACATGAGATGGGGTGTGATACAGGCATGCAATGTGAAATAATCACAGCATAGAGAACGGGGCATCTGTCCCCTCAAGCATTTATCCTTTGAATCACAAACACCCAATTACACCCTTTAAATTATTTTAAAATGTACAATTAAATTATTATTGACTATAGCCACCTGTTGTGGCATCAAATAGTAGGTCTTATTCATTGCTTCTAATTATTTTTTGTATCCGTTAACAATCCTCACCTCCCCCAACAACACATCCCTCAGTGACCCTTCCAGTCTCTGGAAACCATCCTTCGACTCTCTATCTCCATGGATTCAATTGTTGTGATTTTTAGATCTCACAAATAAGTGAGAACATATGACATTTAGCTCTCTGTGCCTGGATTATTTAACTAAACATAATGATGTCCAGTTCCATTCATGTTGTTGCAAAGGACTGGATCTCATTTTTTTTTTTTTTTTTTTGCTTAATAATACTCCATTCTGTATATGTACCATGTTTTTAAGATTTATTTTTTTATTTCAATATGCCTTGGGGAAACAGGTGGTGTTTGGTTACATGAAGAAATTCTTTAGTGGTGATTTCTGAGATTTTGGTATACCCATCACACAAGTAGTGTACACTGTGCCCAATGTGTAGTCATTTATCCCTCACCCTCCTTCCACCCTTTCCCCCAAGTTCCCAAAGTCCATTGTATCATTCTTATGCTTTTGTGTTCTCATAGCTTAGCTCCCACTTATGAGTGAGAACATACGATGTTTGGTTGTCCATTCCTGAATTACTTTACTTAGAATAATAGTCTCCAATTCCATTCAGGTTGCTGCAAATGCCATTATTTCATTGGCTGAGGTAATATTCCATGGTATATATGTACCACATCTTCTTTATCCATTTGTTGGTTGATGGGACATTTTTTTCTGCAGTTGCGAATTGTGCTGCTATAAACATGCATGTGCAAATATCTTTTTCATTTAATGACTTCTTTTCCCCTGGGTAGATGCCCGGTAGGATTGCTGGATCAAATGGTAGATCTACTTTTAGTTCTTTAAGGAATCTCCACGTTGTTTTCCATCCTGGTTGTACTAGTTTACATTCCCATCAGCCATGTAAAAGTGTTCGCATTTCACCACATCCACGCCAACATATATTATTTTTTGATTTTTTTATTATGGCCATTCTTGCAGGAGTGGGGTGATATTGCATTGCAGTTTTGATCTCCATTTCCCTAATAATTAGGGATGTTGAGCATTTTTCCATAGCTTCTTGGCCATTTGTCGATCTGTTTTTGAGAATTCATGTCCTTAGCCCACTTTTTGATGGGATTATTTGTTTTGTTCTTGCTGATTTCTTTGTAGATTCTGGATATTAGTCTTTTGTCAGATGTAGAGATTGTGAAAATTTTCTCCCACTCTGTAAGTTGTCTGTTAACTCTGCTGATTCTTTTGCTCTGCCAAAACTTTTTAGTTTAATTAAGTCCCAACTATTTATCTTTGTTTTTGTTGCATTTGCTTTTGGGTTCTTGGTCATGAAGTTTTTGCCTAAGTCAATGTCTAGAAGGGCTTTGCTTTTTTTTATGGTGCCAATTTTAAACAGTTTTTATTTAAGACATTGATTTTCTGGTTAAAATACAGTATTTATAAAGTGCAATGTTATTTCCTTCCCCTGTGCATATGTTCCATATTCAAGTATTGAGAATGCCCAGTAACTTACTATAGTAGCTAGACTTTTAAAAACTGCCACAGAATTTGCTACAAATTTAGGTCCTTCAATGTTTTAAAATGTGTAGAACAATGCTACATCTATACTTAGCTTAATCAACCTCTTCAATGGTGGGCCCTGAGGAAGCACCATCAGAGGGAGGAGCTCCACCACCAGGTAGTCCCCCAGGCATTCCTCCTGGCATGCCTCCTGCACTCCAGTACACTTGGTAATGATGGAGTTGCGGACTTTCTCCAGCTCTTTCTGCTGAAGTTCAAATTCTTCCTTCTCGGCAGTCTGATTCTTATCGAGCCAGTTGATAATTTTATTACACTTGTCCAGAATCTTCTGTTTGTCTTCATCATTAATCTTGCCTTGAAGTTTCTCATCTTCGACAGTTGCTTTCACGTTGAATACATATGACTCAAGTGAATTCTTAGATGATACTTCATCCCTCTGCTTCTCATCTTCAGCTTTGTACTTCTCAGCTTCCTGGACCATACATTCAATGTCTTCCTTGCTTGAACGGCCGTTGTCATTAGTGATAGTAATCTTGTTCTCTTTTCCTGTACTCTTGTCCACAGCAGAGACATTGAGGATGCCATTGGCATCAATGTCAAAAGTGACTTCAATCTGAGGAACATCACAGGGTGCAGGAAGTATGCCTGTGAGTTCACACTTGCCAAGCAGGTTGTTATCCTTGGTCATGGCACGCTCACCTTCATAAACCTGAATAAGCACACCAGGCTGGTTGTCAGAATAGGTAGTGAAGGTCTGTGTCTGCTTGGTAGGAATGGCAGTATTACGCTTGATGAGGACAGTGATGACTCCACCAGCAGTTCCAATACCAAGGGAAAGAAGAGAGACATCTAAGAGCACCAAATCTTGGACATTTTCAGACTTGTCTCCAGATAGGATGGCTACCTGGACAGCTGCACCATAAGCAAGAACTTCATCAGGATTGATGCTCTTATTTGGTTCTTTTCCATTGTGAAGCCTTGGAGAAGCTTCTGAATCTTGGGGATATGAGTAGAACCACCAAACAGGACAATATCATGAATCCGTGACTTGTCCAGTTTGGCATCTTGAAGGGCTTTCTCTGTGGGGTCTAGGGTGCTATGGAACAGGTCAGTATTCAATTCTTCAAATTGGGCATGGGCACTGGACGTATAGAAGTCGATTCCTTCACAGAGAGAATCAATCTCAATACTGGCCTGGGTGCTGGAAGAGAGAATATGCTTAGCATGTTCACAAGCAGTGTGGAGGGATCTTACAGCTCTCTTGTTCTCACTGATGTTCTTCTTATGCTTGCACTTGAACTCAGCAATCAAATGGTTGACATTCAGTTGTCAAAGTTTTCTCCACCCAAGTGGGTGTTTCTGGCTGTAGAGTATTTTTTTTTTTTTTTTTTTTAAGTTGGAGTCTCGCTCTGTCACCCAGGCTGGAGTGCAGTGGCCGGATCTCAGCTCACTGCAAGCTCTGCCTCCCCGGTTTACGCCATTCTCCTGCCTCAGCCTCCCGAGTAGCTGGGACTACAGGTGCCCGCCACCTCACCTGGCTAGTTTTTTGTATTTTTTAGTAGAGACGAGGTTTCACCGGGTTAGCCAGGATGGTCTCGATCTCCTGACCTCGTGATCCGCCTGTCTCGGCCTCCCAAAGTGGGATTACAGGCTTGAGCCACCGCGCCCGGCCTCTGGCTGTAGATTTGACCTTAGAGATTCCATCCTCAATAGTGAGGATTGACACATCAAAAGAGCCACCTCTCAGGTCAAAGATCAGCATGTTTTTTTCAGCTCCAACCTTTTTGTCTAAGCCATAAGCAATAGCAGCAACAGTTGGCTCATTGATAATTCTAAGTACATTGAGACCAGCAATAGTTCCAGCATCTTTGGTAACCTGATGCTGAGAGTCATTAAAGTAAGCTGGCACTGTGACCACAGCATTGTTAACAATATTGCCGAGGTATGCTTCTGCAATTTCCTTCATCTTTATCGGAATCATAGAGGGCACCTTCTCTGGGTAGAAGCTTTTGGTCTCTCCCTTGTATTCCACTTGGACCTTGGGCCCGCCAGCATCATTCACCGACAAGAGGGGCCAATGCTTCATATCAGACTGGATAACAGCATCATCAAATCTGCATCCAATAAGATGTTTGGCATCAAAAACCATGTTGGTGGGGTTCATTGCAACTTGATTCTTGTGGCATCACGGATCAATCATTCCGTGTCTGTAAAGGCGACATAGCTTGGAGTGGTTCCATTTCCCTGATCATTGGCAATTATCTCTACTTTTCTGTGCTGGAAAACACCCACACAACAGTAGGTGGTGCCAATATCAATATCAACTGCAGGTCCCTTCGACATGGCTGCTGGTGTGTAGACCTGGCTCCAACTACAAAGAAAGACATAGAAACCCTGAGAGCTGCAGGTGAGTTCAGTGACAGAAGGGTTTTTTCTGATGTCATCTTGTAGAAGCTTTATGGTGTCAGGTCTTAGATTTAAGTCTTTGGTCCATCGTGGATTGATTTTTTTATAAGGGGAGAGGTGAGGATTCAGTTTCATTCTTCTACATGTGGCTTGCCAGTTATCCCAGCACCATTTGTTGAATAGGGTGTCCTTTCCTCACTGCATGTTTTTGTTCGGTTTTTTGAAGATCAGTTGGCTGTAAGTATTTCGCTTTACTTCTTGGTTCTCTATACTATTCCATTGGTCTATGTGCCTATTTTTATACCAGTACCTTGCTGTTTTGGTGACCATGGCCTTACAGTATAGTTTGAAGTTGGGTAATGTGATGCTTCCAGATTTGTTCTTTTTGCTTCATCTTGCTTTGGCTATGCAGGCTCTTTCTTGGTTCTCAAGTGATCCTCCTGCCTTGGCCTCCCAAAGTTCTGGGATTACAGGCATGAACCACTACACCCAGCATTTGCCCACTTTTAAATGAGGTTTTGGGGGGTTTTTTGTTGTTGTAAATTTGTTTGAATTCTTTATAGATACTGAATATTAGACATTTGTCAGATGCATAGTTCACAAATATTCCCTCCCATTCTGTAGATTGTCTGTTCACTCTGTTGGTAGTTTATTTTGATAGGCAGAAGCTCATAAGTTTAATTAGATCCCATTTGTCAATTTTTGCTTTTGTTGTTTTTGCTTTTGGCATCTTTATCAAAAAATTTTGCTCATTCTTATGTCCAGAATAGTATTGCCTAGGTTGTCTTCCAGGGATTTTATAGTTTTGGGTTTTACATTTAAGTTTTTAATCAATCTTGAGTTAATTTTTGTATATCTTGTAAAAAAAAAAAAAAAAAAAAAGAGGTCCAGTTTCAGTCTTCTGCATGTGGCTACCAGTTATTCAAGCACAATTTATTCAGTAGGGAGTTCGTTCCCTATTGCTTGTTTTTGTCAGCTTCGTTGAAGATCAGATGGTTGTAGGTGTGTGGCCCTATTTCTGGGCTCTCTATTCAGTTCCACTGGTATGTCTGTCTGTTTTTGTACCAATACCGTGCTGTTTTGATTAATGTAGCCCTCTACTATAAAGTTGAGTGGTTTGATCCCTCCAGCTTTGTTCTTTTTGCTTAAGATTGCCTTAGCTATTCCAGTTCATTTATGGTTCTGTATGAATTTTAAAATAGATTTTGTTCTAGTTCTGTGGAGAATGTCATTGTTAGTTTAATAAGAATAGCATTGAACCTGTAAATTGCTTTTGGCAACATGGCCATTTTAGTGATACTGATTCTTCCTATCCATGAGCAGGGAATTGTCACTGTTGAGGGTTGTTGTCCAGATTCTTGGCATTTTGAACAAATAATTGGACAAAACACACAAACACAACAAGGCAACAAAAGCAGAGATTTATTTTAAATGAAAGTACACTCCACAGAGTCAGGGGAGGCTCAAGCAAGCAGCTCAAGAGCATTGGTTACAGAATATTTTGGGGTTTAAACGCCCTCTAGAGGTTTCCCATTGGTTCACTCTATGCAAATAAAGTAGTGGGCCATGACCAGTCTGATTGGTTGTGGGAAGGGACCAATCAGAGGCACTTATATTTTCCAACTGCCACGCAGCAACTGCCACAAAGAAAAAGGAGGAATTGAAAGCGGAATAGCCTGTGATGTCCAGTCAGCATGAATCAGCCTTAGGTTCCCTGCCTCCAGACCCTATTCTCCTGCCTCAGAATGTTTTCCCGTTTGTTTGTGTCATCTCTGATTTCTTTGAACAGAGCCAAACCATATCACGTGGGGTGCATGATTGTTCTTGGTGTCCATTGATTTTTTTTTTCCAATGCATCTGCTGGTGCAATTTTCACATTACCCTGTGATAACAGCTTGGATCTTGTAAGCTAACACCAAGAACAACCATGCACCCCATGTGATATGGTTGGGCTCTGTGTCCCCACCCAAATCTTATCTCCAATTGTAATCCCCACATGTCAAGGGAAGGATTACAATTGGGCAGAGGGATCATTGAATCATGGGGGTGGTTACCCCCATGCTGCTCCTGTGATAGTGAGTGAGTTCTCACAAGATCTAATGGTTTTATAAGTGTTGGAAGTTCCTCCTTCACTCCTTTCTCTCTCCTGCTGCCATGTAAGACATGCCTGCTTCCCCTTCCACCATGATTGTAAGTTTTCTGAGGCCTTCCCAGCCATGTGGAACTGTGAGTCAATTAAACTTTTTCTCTTATAAATGACCCAGTCTTGGGTAATTCTTTCTAGCAGTGTGAAAATGGACTAATACCACACGTGAGTATTTGGGACCTCACAAGCACACCTGGTGAGGGCTCAAAGCCAGATGGTTTCATTTCCTTTCTCTTGTGCTTCTCTCTGACTGGTAGAAAATTGGTGAATCACAAAAACATATTTAAAATGGCAACTATGTGAGGCTTGCAAATATGGGGAAGTGAACAAAAAAAGTAATATTTAAAAAGTAGAACACAAAAGAGTTTGCACAGTCTTATTTAAGCTGTGCCATACATGTTCATAAACAAGTTTGCAAGATAATTTGAAAATTATTACAATTTTCAAATACAACATATTCTTTCAGTTTAAGTTTAAAAGCATGCATTTAGAAACAAATCGATACTAAAAACAAAAACAAACCATATAGCCATAACCACAAATGCCATTCACACTATCACCGAACAAGATCTCTTTTTGATAAACCAAAAGGTGATCCATATACAGTCAAGATTTATAACATATAACCATTATGAATTTGTAAATGAATAATCGAACAGCCTTATGAAAAATAAAATACTAACAAAAGACAAATAAGAAATAAATACAATTTATATATTTGATTAATATAAAATATAATTTCTTTTAAAGTACTGGGATAACAATCGAGTGCAATAAGATGACAAAGATTATAGATACAATAGAGTAATCCAAAGAAAAACATGCATAGCCATGTTGGATTGCGCACCCCATAAAACCACAAAAACCAACTTATGTCATAATTACATATAGGATAAAAATTGTCAATAAAATACTAATATAATAAAATAAAATAAATCCACCTCCATAGTCTATAATAATAAAATAAATAATAGAGATACTTATTTACGTAAGGATCAATAGACAGGAATCCGTGACAAACTAAATGTTACAAATACTTACTGTTCGAATGTCAAATATATTAGTATACTGTGAGGATGATAGAAAAAATTAAATATCCCCTGGCCAAACGGGCCACTGTCTGTGTAGAGGTCTTAAGTTCTTCTCTCTTGTCTCTTTGATTGCAGAAATGTTTTCTCACAGGTATATATCAGATAATTTATCCCCAGTACAACCACAAAGAATGTCGCACATTCAGCATAAACGTCGCCAACTTCTAACACAATATAAGGATCCCCCAGTAAGACGTGCAGTTGTTCAGACCAGAGCGCATAGAGTGGCTCACACACTGTAATAAAACACAGACACAAAAGCCATTTTGAGAGGTCCAGGCCGAAGGATCACCAATAGAGGATCCAGGAGACTAATCGAGAAGAGACAACTAGGACCAACAATGATGAACCAAAACTCACATACATCTTATATAGACCGGACTATTACAATTAGCTGGCACACGGTGGAATACAAGTAGCCCCATGATAGTCCCAAGCTACTAGAGGGGCGAGCTCAGAGCGCAAGGAGAATCAGCAATAATAGAACCCAGGAGGTGGAGGTTTGTGTTAGCTGAGATCATGTGCACTGTAGTCCGCTGTGGGTGGACAGAGTGAGACTCCATTCAAAAAAAAAAAAAAAAAAAGATGAGTGTGGGTGAGGTGTGAGTGCTGCCCTTACAATTGCAATGCAGTCCTGGTCCAGGATGGGTTCCCTACCTTGCGTACCTGAGAGCGCTGGATAGCTCTGGGCTACTGTGTGTCCCTGAATATAGAATTGGGTGAAGGTGGGGAAGATGAATGAGATGGAATTTATAAAACATAACATCATATGTGTAAAGTGCTTAATGACCCACTCGGCAGATGACAACAAACAATGGACAATGGCAGCGTAATGGAGTATACGCCCCCTCGATGAGCTGCATATTTTTATTTTGAACCCTGAGGTGGTAGGAGGTGCTCTTTGCAATATTTGGTTTCCAAACATGTATTCATTGATTTAACCCATCACCACTATGACCACCATCACTTACTGACTCACTAAGAATTGGGTAAGTAATTATCTTACATGTTCATAGTGGCATGTTCATAGCTCACTGTAACCTCGAACTCCTGGGCTCGAGATCCTCCTGCCTGAGCTGCACAAGTAGCTGTATTAACCTTTCTTAAATGTCTCCATAGCTCTCATTTATTTCAATGTTTAATATGAGAAGTGTTTTGGATCTTTATTTAGAAACTTGGTGATGTTTTTGTGACCAGAAATATGCTATAGGAACTTAACTCTTTTCAATATCAATTAGCTTTCAGTAAAATTGGTTTAATTATACACATTTTTGCTTAAAGTCCCAGTTTCTGAGAACCTACTGATGATTTAAGTAAGAACTTACTGTACCACTGAACATCTACAATGAGTCAGGCATTGCTACAAGCACTTTTCATCCATTACCTTTCAAGAATTCTCTCTGAGGTAGGTTTTAGTGTCTTCAGTTTAGAGGGTTAAATCATAAACAATATATAGAATTAAATAAGAAACTAAACCATCCAAAACTACAATGTTGAATTAAAAAGGAAGTTACAGTAGCATAGATAGTGGACACCTTTGTAGAAAATTTTAAAACTTAAAAGGCTAAACAAGGCATTATTTAGGGATACCTACATAAGTAGCAAAATTATGATGAAAGTCAAAGGTATTATGATTTTTCAGAATTTAAAATGAACGATGATTCTTTTTGGAGAGGCAAAGAGTTATACTTGGGAAGGGCAATAGAGTGGGAAAGTTGCATTAAGCAGATGTTGGTTTTATTTTTCACATATTTATGAAAAATAAATATATGCAATTGACCCTCTGTGTCTGTGGTTTCCACATCAATGAATTCAGCCAACCTTGGATCAAATATGTAGTTAGGCTTATAATGGCTGTGTCTGTACTGAACATACACAAGCTTCTTTTTGTCATTACAAAAGATACAGTACAAAAATTATTCACATAGCATTCTAAATGTATAGGTAAGAGATAATCTACAGTGTGCAGGAAAATGTTCATAGGTTATATGCAAATACTACATCATTTAATATAGACCCTTTGGCATCCAGAATTTTGATATCTGGGGGGAATTCTAGAACCAATTCCCTGTGAATACCAA